TATTCTTATTTTTATAAAATGAAGAAATAGTATCATATGCTATCAAGCATGGTACCCATCTGCCATAAAGTCAAAGCAAAGTAGCCCTCCAACTTTTTTTTATCACTAACATGATGTTGATTTGATTTAGTAACTTAATAAAATTCAATGTCCCGTGGAGTCTGTACCTGTTTCATAGCATTATAATGTCGTTATCAAAATAACTTTAAATTTCATCCAACATTCTTAATTTACGCATACTAAATCAAATATTCATTTTGTTCATGAGAAAATCCAGTTCAAATAGTTTCAATTTCACTACATTACGAGTCAAAACTAATTAACAAATATGTTCATCAAATTAAAACCAATCTTCTGGATGCTTCCACCATCATACTAAAATTTTATTTGGATGATGGTTCAATAATGATGGTATAATTTTTTTATAATTTTTTCTATTTGTTTGTATTTTCAAGCATATGATATAATTTATTTGTAGTTGAGTCATAGTTTTTAAAATCATAATTTTTTCAATTTTCTCAAACCACCGATTTTGTAATTTTATGATGGTTTAATAATTTTTTTCATTTATACCCTTAATGTTTTTTTATTATTTACAATATTACTCTTCTCTTTAATTTTTTCTACTTTACACTTCTTTTTATATATTTTTTTAAAATATTATATATATAAATATATATTTAATTAAATTTATATATTTATATTTTTAATTATATATTTACATATATATGATATATTTAATTATATCAATTTTATATATAAATATATTTATACATAAATTTATATATGTATATGATATATTTAATTATATATATTTATATATCTATATATTTATCAATATATATTTTTTAAAATTTTTTTAAATTTTTCATTTATTATTATATATAACAACGTATGATCAAAATAAAAAATTTATTCAAATATGTAACCATATCGTCTTGTTAATCTAAATAAAAATAATTATTACTATCAAATATTAATTAACCATCATCTAAATATAATTAAATTTAAACATTAATGAACCTTACACATATACCACCGTATTTGACATTAATAAATCTTCATGCAAGTTATCTAATCAGGAGTAAAGAAAATGATTATGTGCAAATTATATTTATAACCATTTTAATTATTATGTGTATTCAGAGCACTACTTTAAGATGGACTCTCCCTCTTTTATAAATAACCTAATCACTGAAGATACTACTTGCAGAATGAAATTATGTTTAAAACTTGTAATTACATAAATCGAAGACAAGACACGCATCATATATAAAAATTAGGGTCCTACATAATAGATGAATGCTATAGCCACCCAACGTTACCAAAATTTATGGAACAAAATTGTGCAGTATGACAATTAGTATTGACAACAATGTCAGAATTCTTCCGAGGCTCAAACACGATGACCTTGAAAGATTGTGAGTCTCAACACTGTAAGTAACTCCAGTCACTTCATCCCTCACCTTGATGCCTGACGAGCCTGAAACCAACCAAAATCAGACCTCTCTATCAAAACAATCCAATCACAAGCTCCATGGCTAAAACCAGTCACTCTCCATCATCATTTCACAACTCAATCCTAAAGAAAACAGTAATTTAACCACACAAAGAACAGTAAAATATATGAACTCTACAAATACTCACAGTTGTATTCAGTCCATCCAATGACTTGGTTCTCAATATCATATATAACCAATTTATTTGAAAGAACTAAATCTGCATCAGAAAGCAAACAGAAAATAAAGAATTTAAAGGCAAAAGAAAAATCCAAGAAAACATGCAAAACCTACATATATACACACATAGTATCATGCAAAAACTTATATTTTAGTTCCAACTCTTAGAATATATGCGCGTGTGTATATATATATATATATATATATCATACGTAACAAATGCAAGGACGTTACAACCCTAGTTGATTAGAACGTCCAATTGTTAAGAAGAGAAAGAAGAATACATAAGGAAGCTAAGTGTTAGTCTTGTGGAATGTCTAATATACTGCCAATTGTTCGTTTACTTACCTGAAAGAATAATTTTCTGCCACATCAGTTATGGCAGATTTAATATGTTTTATTGTCTCTTTGCCACCTGCTAAGTTGGCAGTTTATATGATATTTAATGTCTATAACCACTGTCTAGGACAAGACAATATAAAGCAGTTATTCAGTTTATTTATTTATTTTTTAATTAAAAATGATATACATCATTAAATACCATAAAAAATTATTTACATGTCAATCAAAATGTAACTAAGGTTCTCATATCCTCCAGAGAATATAGAGGATGACCTATAACTAAAAAACCCAGTGTTTGGAACCACTCGTTTCTAACTCTATCTGTAATTTCCTCCACCCCCTACAAAGCCATCATGTTTATTTCTTTCCACACAACCCAGAAAAGTAACAAAGGGAATGAGAGACATATCTTTTCCCACCATAAATTCAGTTTATTAAGAGCACAAATTCTGTTTTTTAATTATAAAAGGATTATAGGAGAATTCAGAAAAAATTTCTTCCGTGCTTTAAGCACTAGGAAATAGTTGGGTTCTCTCTTATTTACTTTCAGAACAAGTTCCTGAGCAGGGAATACAATAAAGATTATGCAAATGAGCTGAAAACAGGACAACATTTTGTCGAGATTCAATTGAAAAAGACAACCAATACTGTTGCAACAAAATTTCTTTCATATCATCTTTAGATATGCTTTCGCATAATTAAAAATATATCTCGTCCTTTAAGTACTTTTGACCATAAATGCATTATTAGTCATTGAGGATAGCCATCTAATAAAACATTTACAGGCTCAGTTCAACAGAAAACTTAGTGGAAGTCAATTGATCTCTGATAGTTAGAACAAAGAAAATGTAGTTTTACATGCAATTCCAAACTCACCTCCCAAAAGAGTCAATTGCATTCCATCCTTAGTTTGCATCCCTCCATTCTGCCAACCAAAACACCACATTTCTTCCTGAAGAGAGCAATGAAAATGATTTGTCAACAGATGAAACAAGAAGTTTACCACAGACCAAAATCACAAACACAAACTTCTAAAATGTAGAACAAGAATCTACAACTAAAACTGACTATTTAATCAATACCAACTAATCCAAATGCTTTCACCACAAAATAAATATACCTTTCTAATAAATTAAATAAAAAAAACATTTCTGAAGTTTTCAACAGGACTAATTAAGGGCTTAGGCTTAGTTTACATAAAGGAATTGGCGAGTATGTACTGTATCACTAGTGTTTAATGTATTAGAGAATTAAATGAAGGATTCTGAAAACAAAAAATATGCAACAATATTACCCATACGTACTAAACAAGGCCCACTAGAATATAAACTGTTACTAACAGGATACCAGGTTTCCCTTCTTTTTTTTTTTCTTCTGGTTCAATGGATCTGCTTTTTTTTTTTTTTTTGCCAAACTCAATAACCTAGGTTAATTTGGGTTAATTGTTCCCCGACCTATTTCTTTGCTGCCCAAAATTGGTAAAATATAAGGAGAAATTTATACTATTCATCTTTATTACAGAACGGTCTGTTCTAATACATTTAGAACATCAGATATCATATTTGGAAGGCAGTCAATGAAATACAATGGCCAAGACTACTGATCCAAAAAGGCCAACAAAGAAAAGCCCAAGTAATTTAATAGTTGAAATTTACAAGCTTCATAAACTAAGATTTATTAAAAAAGTAAAACTATCAGGTTCCACAAAACAGACTGATAAAAAGATTTATAAAATTCTCAGATCCGTGCTTGTGGTTAAGAATATAGCAGCCTTCACATTAATTGGTTAAAAGAGTAGATCAAATGGTGCAAGTCTCTGTTAACAAACCCAATAGGTGCAGATCTAAGCTTTCAGCCTCCTAATCCAGTGATGCAGAGAGTTGCAGTAAGTTTGGTAGATATCTAAACCAAACACCGAAGGTGTTTACTAATGTAAACAACCAAAAATAGTAGACCAAAAATCATAACTTTGTTACTTTCTAGAGACAACAAACAACATTTTAGGTAAAAGATCATAGCAGACACTCAGATTAAACAATCAGATAAATTATGATAGTTTTTATAGTATATCAGCATCTCTTTTCTAAAACATGGCAGTAACCGTGTAAGCTTATCAAACTATATAAAAATTCCAGTCAATATTTTACTTACAAGAAATTGGAAGATATAATCGTGAGGATAAACTGTCAAAAAGATGGAATCTTCAAAATTAAGAGTAACAATTGGGAATCCATCATCAATACTGCAAGTATACAAAAAAAAACATATGAAAGAATCCACATGGACTGGTGAGAGTAAACTGAAATTTTACAGTTTACCATAAACAAACATATTATGTGGTGAAAAGCACTGAACTTAAGAAACGGAAGCACAGAATATATAAGATATAAATCAGGAAAGCACTCTTTTATAACTAACTCCTCCCGATAGCACAAAAACAGAGACATTAAGAAAAGAAAAAAGTGTATCTCCACAAGTGTACATTCTACTGTTGGCATTTCCTTTTTTTTTTTTTTTTGCAGATTACAATATGGAAGGAAACTTCCAAGCCAATGGAAGTTAGTGAAACTTGAAGCCCAGGGCTAAATGCTATATCTAATTAGAGAAAGAAAGAAAAGAACCCAAACATCTAGTAAATCTTAAATTTTGAACTCTGGTTGAGCACAAACATCTACTAATTTTAACATAGTCCGCAATTATTTAATCTTCAAAATCAGGAAATTTTCCATTTTCGATCTTTTATAAGAGTCTGCAAACAGAGAAATCAATACAGCAAGACATCTCAACTTACTCATTGATGGCTGAATCACTAAGAGGATCATAGTAACTGTTTAAACTTATGATTAACCAGTTGCGTTCCTTTAACTTATACATGATTCAGATGGTGCATTACCCAATAGTAGTTTAAGGAAAGACCAGTCGAATTACACTCAATTTAA